TAGAAGTGGTCATTATTTATTGATGTTGAGGGAATGAATATACAGAATAATGACTAGAAATGGAGTGAAACAGCAGCAACAGCAGCCGGAGGGGTGGCAAGGAGGCATGGTGGTGNAAATTAGTTTAGGGACGAGGCAAGGCAAGCCAGCGATACGATACGATACGATACGATACGATTCGATGCGATAGGGATTGAAGAGGAGCAAAGCAAAGCAGGGTTTTTGAATTGAGTTGTTTTTATAGGTGTGTGTGTGTGCATGCGTTTAGAAGTGGTCATTATTTATTGATGTTGAGGGAATGAATATACAGAATAATGACTAGAAATGGAGTGAAACAGCAGCAACAGCAGCCGGAGGGGTGGCAAGGAGGCATGGTGGTGCGCGAAACGGTGCTTGGTTGGCCGGTGATTCGACTGGGTGGATGGGATGGCTGGCTGGATAGGGAATGTAACAAAGAATTAATTAATTAATTAATTAATGAGTGACTGGTGAATGGCTACTGGATTGATTTCATTGCATGTGAATTTAATTTAGGGAATGATTAAAATGGTCACATTCTAGTGCTAGCTATTGTAATTGGGCGTTTCTGTATTAGAGTGCACCGAGCTGTATTATCTTAGAATAAGTGCAGTAGCTTATTATGCATGTTAAGTGCTGTTAGCTGTGATTCAGCACTGGCCACTGATCATATCAATAAATCATGATCAATCACCTCTCTGTGATTATTATGATGCTGATCAGATAGAATAATCATATGATGTTAACGATAAAATAATTCAACAATGGCACTGCTATTCATTCACAATAGTAATACATAGCACTATTAGCCGTCACGTAGACTATGCGCAAAACGACATTATATCTTGAATATACATGCATATGTATTTATGGGCTAGTTTTATGTATGTATGTATTTGGATGGTGTTTACACGTTTGTTGAGCATATAGAAACTTCGATAATCTATTCATTATTTATTTATTTATCTGTTTGTTTGATGTTTTTACGGACGGACGGCTGGCTGGCTGCATATCCTTTGCAAAACGGCAATAATTCGTATTGTTATGATTGAGAGGTATCGAGGGGTTATTATTACGTAACCGTATAGCTAGCTGATTACTGCATACTGCATTAAAACATAGTAATAGGGCTGGTATAGTAATGTTAGAGTAATTGGCATGAACTGTTAAAATTGTATGTGTGAAGGATGACAGTGAAGCGTGGAATAGTAGTATTTTTAGTGATAATATTTTTGAAGTGAGATACGGAGTACGGGACGGGTTATGTTAAAAGTATTTATAGGTATAGAATGGAGCAGATACTCGTTTGGCGTATTGTTTAAAGGGTTTAAAGCATAGAACTTTCTTATGGTATTTCTGTTAGGTGATAATAATGTATTATATGGTGTGGTAGATAGAGATTTTGATATGATAAATGGTGATGATATGGTGAGGTGGTACGATAGATAGATAGATAGATAGATCAGAGAGAAGTTGGTGATTTTTAGGCGGTGTATTATTTGTTGGATTGTGTCGGTTTGAGTGCGAAGCTGCTTTTAGGTGTTTTTTGCAGTAAGCAGTAAGTAGTAGGTTGATGTTGATGGGCAGGCACTTGAAGTGAACATGAAAACGCCACAGAAAGATACTGGAAGAAATGGAAATTCAATTTAATTTCATTTCATTTCAATTCATTGATTACCTCCACTTGTCCAGAGAAGGCAACAACAACAACAACAGCAGCAGCTAAAAAACGGAATGAAAAGGCAGTAGTGAGTGTGTTGTATTCATCTGATACGTAGATGGGTGGATAGATCTGTGGCTTGTGATAGCCTGCCTTATCGCCGACTGCCTTATCGAACGGCGGGCGGCTTGAATCAACAGCTATATATGTATAGAACATATTCATTCATTTCAATAGTTATAAGAGCATTCGAGAATGTGAATGTATTTATTTATGAGTGCAGCATATAGATGGACTTTTGAGATGATTAATTGATATTTGAGAAATATGAGACGAGAATGGCTGTGCTGGAGGAAAGGCAGGCAGGCAGGCAGGCAGGCAGGCACAAATAAGGCTTGCTTGCTGCATGACTGATTCGTGCAGATTTTTTGTTTAAGCAATTGAACAGAACAGGGAAAAGACTTTGGTTTACACTTAGAATTAGCTTAAGAGCTGCTTACAATTACAATTAGGAAGTTTTATAGGAACGAGTTTAGTAACTGATCTGAACAGTTTGAAGATGGTGATAAAGCAAGGTGATATTGTGATAAAGCAAGGTGATATGGTGATAAAGCAAGGTGATATGGTGATAAAGCAAGGTATTGAGATGATGAGTTGTGCATATGGTATGGTAGTATATTGAGATTCTGTATGATAATGAGCGTAAATATTATATTTATGGAGGCATGCATAGATGAATGCATTGGATAATGCATAGTTATTAGGCAATAAATTGAACTGAATTGCAGTAGCAGCAGTAGCTTATGGGCATGATATTTATTAATAGACTGATGGTTTGAATACTGTAAATAGTACTAAATTATGGTTGCGAACGGTACTGTGGTGATGTGATATGGTCTTATACTAGATCGAGAAGAATTTAGTGATGTTAATGAGTGATTTATTTATGTGTATATTGTGTTGGTGTGTTGTCAAGAGATAGTGCTTACTGAGCAAGGTATACGGTACATAGTAGATAGATAGATGGATAGATGGATGGATGGATGTAAGAAGAGTGAAATAATGAAATGAAATAAAGTAAAAGTGGAGGATAAAAATTCCGGAAATCGATTCTGTACGTGTTAGAGTGATACTTTGCAGTAATTTTTCGTGGTTCGTGGTTTTTTTTTTGCTGAGGATTTTAGGGTGATATATGATGCGATAGTTGAATGGATGGTGATATGTTGTTGGATGGGTGGATAGATAGATGGGTAGTTGTTTTTTGTTATTGTTTCTTGGCCATGGTTATTTTGGTGATGAGGAGTGATATTGTTGAATAGGTGCGGTGTGGCAGCAGATGAGATGAGATACGAGGACGAGGACAAATATAGTGGTGGATATAGAGAGATATACTGATCTGATGGCCTTTAGTGTGTGTTTTTTTACATTAGTTGGTTGCTGGCTGCGTCCACTTTGAAAACAAATTGAGCAACTTTTGAGATGTGGTGTCTGTCAGCTAGCAGATGACGACGACGACGCATGTACAATTTAGCAGCACACACAATAGATACTTACTTACTTACTTACTTACTTACTTCTATTCTAGCTCTATATCGGACGAAGTCTGTCTCTATAGCTGTGGCTGTTAAGAAAAAAACGTGCGCTTTGATAAAGTGAGTGTTAGATTGATTGCAAAACAAGAACAGGGGTGTTTAATAGGTGGATATGATGAATGGGGGTTTGTGAAGGATACATGCATAGATAGGTAGGTGGTCGGATGGAGGGACGGAGGGACTTGATTCGGATGCAATCATCAGAAGACACCAATTAAGAGTTCAGATCAATTTAGTTCAGTTCTCCCTGCTTGCCTACCTACCTACCTACCTACCTACCTACTTAAGTACCTACATACCTACCTACCTACCTACCTACCTACCTACCTACCTACCTACCTACCTACCTACCTACTTACGTACCTACATACCTACCTACCTATTTACCTACTTACGTACCTACATACCTACCTACTTACGTACCTACATACCTACCTACCTACCTACCTACCTACCTACTTACCTACCTACCTACCTACCTACCTACCTACCTACCTACTTACGTACTACCTATCTATTTCTCTTATTATACACTATTTTTGTACTTGATGTCGTCATCATCACCTATTAGCAATTTCCATCCGAATTAGCTGTTGTTGATAGTAATATTTGTTTGTGTATTTGTAAATAAACATGAATAATAATCCAGTAGAATCGAGCGACCGAACCATACATACATAGTAAAGTTGCTTGATTGTGTGTGTGCTGTGCTGCGTTTGGCACATTTCAAATGGTATTTTCCGATAGACTCAGTCGTCACTCACTAGATTTTAAGCAAACGAACGTAAGCATGTTAAGTAGTGAAATGGAATGAATGTTTGAAAGTAATTTTTTAGATGAAATATTCGATATGGTTATTTATAATGTAATGGTTATTTGAGCACTTGATTATGTCGAGTGATAATTTGAGATATAATTTGCATTTAAATTGAAATTGTAAAATTGTTCATTTATTTCCTTATGCAATTCAATTCAATTCATTCGTATGTATATTTTTTGGTTTTTATTCGTTTATTGATTAGT